TCGGGCTGGGCCCTATTCTGTCCGGGCCCTTCCTTTTATGGTGATGTGACACACACAGCATGAGCGTGCCGCCTTGGCCATTTTAAGTGCACAGTCCGGAGGTGTTAAGTATGTCACCCTGTTATGTGACCATCACTGCCATCCGTGTCCAGAACCTCCTCCTCTCCCCAAACCGAGCCTCGGCCCCCATTCCCCCCCGAGGCCCCGGCCCCGGCCCCGGCCCCGGCACCACTGTCTCCATGGGCCTGGTTCCTGAGGGCCCTCGTATCAGTGGCTCACACAGTATTTGTCCCTTTGTGACTGCTCATCTCACTCGGCACAGTGTCCTCCAGGTCCATCCATGTGGCAGCCTCTGTTAGAATGTCCGTCGTTTCTAAGGCTGAGTGACAGTCCACTGTGTGGGCGGACCGCATGAGCTTGTCCATCATCCGTCGTGGACACTCGGGTGGCTTCCAGCTCCTGACCACTGTGACGGGTGCCGCTGTGAACGTGAGGGTGAAAATTTCGCGCCATTTTAAACAGACGCCCAGCATCGCTGATACCGTTCAGCCTCGTGTCTGTGTGTTGCAGGCAACGGGGTGGTTGTCCACTTACCGGGCTTGTTTGAAGAAGCAGAAAAGAATGAGAAGAAAGGTAGGCCCGGGTCCCCTCGGCGCCCTGTCCTGACGCCTGCGTGTCCCAAGCAGCTGTGTTGCCTGGCACCTGTCTGTGCGGGCGCTCGGGTGGGCTGACCGTGCCTACAGGAGACAGTGTGGTTCCTGGGGTCTCCTTGGGGACAGGAGGCGGGCAGGCAGTGACCGAGGCACCAGCCAGGGGGTCTGGGCGAGTCAGAGACAGGCTGACCATGAAGCAGCAGCCCCGAGAGGCTCCTTGGAGGGAGCAGAGCCCCAGTCTTGGGGTTCAAGTTCAGGGCAGGCATGAAAGGGCGCGTGAGAACCTGCCCCTGGGCATGGCCACCAGGAGGCTGTAGGTGGGCTAGCTGGAGGTGCGGGTCTGGGACGCACAGCTGGGGGAGAGGCTACAAGTGGAGGACCTGTCACTGGCTAGGCACTGGAGGTGACCCTGGGGGCATCTGGCGGCAGGGGTGGGGGGCGCTGAGGGAGCGGGCGGCCTCACCTGTGCCTGTCACATAGGCCTCAAGGACTGGGAGAGGAGGCTCATCATCTCCGACCGTGCCCACCTCGGTAAGTGTCCGCCCCTCCCGCTGCTCCTGGACGGCTGTCCCCTCCGCAGCCCTCCTGCATGGCCTCAGAGGGAAGGGTGGGCGCTAGGTCAGGATCACTGTCCCCATGGCAGATGAGGACGCTGAGGCCCGGGGACTCACGGTCACATGTGAGTTAGTGGGGAGCGGAGGCCAGATTTCAACCGGAGCACCCTCCACGGAGGCCCGGCATGTGCCAGGCGCAGCGGGAGCGGCCGTGACCCTCCATCTGTCCTCTCCCCCGCAGTGTTCGACTTCCACCAGGCCGTGGACGGGCTCCAGGAGGTGCAGCGGCAAGCCCAGGAGGGGAAGAAGTAAGTGGCCAGGCGCTCGTCTGGGCGGCTTAGTCCGCTAGCCATGGGCGTCCTGGGCGCGTCTGGTCCAGTGTGACAGGAGGGGCACGTGGACCCACTGACGGCCCTGGAGGACAGCCCTGTTGGCTCGGCCCAGGGCCTCCCCTGAAGCCTGCGTGAGCATACCTCTCCCTGGGGTCACCCAAGGGGTGCACGTGCTGTGCGTCACCCGCTGCGCCCACTGCAACCGCTAGGTCCCTGGCCAGCCGTGACCACATGCACAGGCCACCCACACTCATTCTCCCGACGTGTTCGTGACAGTGAGTCGGGACGCTGGTTTTCATAGACGGAGCGGGCGAAGCGGACGAGCATGCACTGCACACACGTGCACATGCTCACACGCATGTGCTGGGCAGCGGGTGCAGCGTAGGCGTGGCCGGCTCCCTGCCCAAGGCGGCATTGTCCCCAGCGCCAGGCAAGAGGGGTGCTTGGACACAAAGCAGACAGGACCGGGAGGCACCCTGGGCGCCGGGCCTCAGAGTGGAGGCCGGGGGACAAGGGGAGGGTGAGTTTGGGGCTCGGAACTATCTGCCACCACCCAGCCGCTGGGTCCCTGAGGGCCGGCCGTGTGGGGAGTCTGGTCAGTCCCCACAGCCACCCAGGTTCCCAGGTGCTGCTGCCAGGAAGGTGCTTTCTGTGTCACCAGGGTTGGGAACTGAGGTTGGGCGGGTGGCCCGGGACCCCGGGTTTCCAGGCAGCTGCCCCGTGCTCATAGCCCACACGTCTCGCAGCATCGGCACCACCAGGAAGGGCATCGGACCGACCTACTCGTCCAAAGCTGCCCGCACTGGCCTGCGCATCTGTGACCTGCTGGCAGACTTCGACGACTTCTCCGCCAGGTACCCGACCGTCACCTGCAGCCCTGGGGCGTGGGGCCAGCTGGGAGCAGGGGCTTGGGGACCCGGGAGGGACAAGGAGTCCCAGTCACTGTCACCCCTGCAGATTCAAGAACCTGGCCCATCAACACCAGTCCATGTTCCCCACTTTGGAAATAGACATTGAAGGTCAACTCAAAAGGCTCAAGGTACAGCTGGGGCGGCCGGCGGCACGCGGTTCTGACGGCAGACTCGACGTTCCCCAGCACTCACGGAGCTCCCCGTTACGGGCACTGGGGACCATGGGCCTCCTGTATGAGCCCCAGCCGGCCATGGTCAGCCAGGCGGTCCCCGCAGGAGGCCGGGGCTCACCCGCCAGGCCCGGCCCTCATTTCCTCTCTGGGGAGGCCGCCCTGGCCTGTCTGCAGTGGAGGGGAAGGTGTCTCTGCTCACATCTGAGAGGGCGGGTGCGGGGGACAGGACAGCGTCAGTGCAAAGCCCTTCTGGAAGTTTCCAAGACTGGGAGCCTGCTCTTCAAGCCGTCATCTAGGGCTGTAAATGAGGAAAGGGACGGACCAGTGACACTGGATTAGGGGCCATCCTACTGACCTCGTTGAACTTTAGTTATCTCCAAATACAGTCCCATTCTGAGGTTCTGGGGGTTAGGGCTTCCGTGTGGGTTGGGGGACACACTACACCCCACAGCGATCACTAAGAGGCCAGAGCTGAGTCTCACAGACAAGACCAGCCAGGGTCACACCAGCAGACCAGGACTCTAAGAAACTGCGGGAAGAGGAGGTGGGGCTGGGGGCGACGTTCCCCTCCGTCCCCTCCCCACATCCCTGTCCCCCACAGGGCTTTGCCGAGCGCATCCGGCCCATGGTGCGGGACGGCGTCTACTTCATGTACGAGGCGCTGCATGGCCCCCCCAAGAATATCCTCGTGGAAGGTGCCAACGCAGCCCTCCTGGACATCGACTTCGGTACGATCCCCCAAGGCACCCCCTCGGTGTCTGCCAGGAGATGGGTGTGAGGGGTCTTCCTCAGCCTCGCTGCCATCCTGCCTGAGAGGCTCGGCTGTCCCACCCCCGCTCAGCCCGCAGGGGGAGGAGAGGGGCTGAGCTGCACAGGAGAGGGACCCCACAGGGTGGGTGCACCGAGCCACCTCCCACCTGGCCCTCTCGGATGTGAGCAGGGACACCTTTACCTCCCACTGCAGACAGGCCTGGTGGGTGAAACCTCCCCCTCCCCACCCTGCTCAAGACCCTGTGGGAGCCATCCCCCAGGATGGTCCCCCAGATGGCTGGCCCTGGAGACCCACCAAGGGCCCTATCCACCCACTGGGGTCTGCCCAGAGGGACCCTGGCAGGGTGCTCTGTGGGGTGGCGGACGGCCCTGACTGGCTGTGCCTGCAGGGACCTACCCCTTTGTGACATCATCCAACTGCACGGTGGGCGGCGTGTGCACGGGGCTGGGCATCCCCCCTCAGAACATCGGCGACGTCTACGGCGTGGTGAAGGCCTACACCACACGCGTGGGCATCGGCGCCTTCCCCACCGAGCAGATCAATGTGAGTCCCCAACCCTGGAGGGACCCTGGGGCACAGGGGATTGGGGGGACAGACTCCCACGGGGGGGTGGCATGAGGCCACGTGCTCCGGCAGCGTGGCACCATGAGGCTTACACGACGGTGCACTGTGCACACGCGAGTCCGCACAGCCCCACTCCCCAGGGAGGTGTCACAGGCGAGCAGCAGGGTGCCCACAGCCCCCTCCAAGGCCCTGCGTGCTGCTGCTCAGGGACCCCCACCTTGACTCAGCAAGGAGTCCTCAGGACCCCACCAGCCTGCCTTTGTCAGCCCGGCCTTGTGTCCTGGTGGCCTTGAGGACAGGGGCTCTTGTCTTGAGCAGGTGTGTGTGAGCAGAAGGGTAGCGGGCTGCCTGCGTCCAGAAGCATCTGGCGGCTGTAATAGGGCAGGGAGCGCAGGGCCAGCATGGGGACCAGAGGTGGAACAGACGCCCCCTGCTGGCCCGCTGAGCTACGGGGCAGGTCCATTCTGCCCTCACTTCCCTGTGCCCTGTGGGAGAGCTAAGGGGAGGAGGCGAGCGAGGCACCTGTGCCCTCCACCGAGGCGGGGCCTCTGTGAAGGGCCTCTGTGAGGAGGGTGCAGCTTCAAGCATTGCTCTGAGCCAAGGGGGAGGGGACACAGGGGCAGAGGAAAGGCTGAGTGCAGGGGCGGGCCAGGCGCCACCTGCTCACACGCACTGCCCCCCGGCTCTGTCCTCACACAGGAGATCGGAGACCTGCTGCAGAGCCGTGGCCACGAGTGGGGGGTGACCACGGGCAGGAAGAGGCGCTGTGGCTGGCTCGACCTGGTGATCCTGAGATACGCCCACATGGTCAACGGGTTCACCGCGTGAGCAGCCCTCTGTCACAGCTGTTGCTGCACGGCCACCTTGCTGCCGTCCACACGGGGGACTGTCCTGGAACCCGGGACAGCACTGGAGCAAGCGGAGCCGGGTGTCAGGCTCAGGGCCACTGTGCCCGTGGCATGCCGTCACCCTTCTGCACGGCAGGGCCACACGGGTGGTGACGCAGAGGCCCGGCCACAGCGGACAGCCCTGCGGCCGGGCCCGGGTGCCTCCGAACAATGCCGCGGAGGCCAGAGAGCATCGTGGCACCTCTAGGAGGTCGAAATGGTTCGCCTAGAGGTGGGGGGCAAGCCCAGAGCAGAAGGGCTGCGCCCAGTCCTGCCGGGCCTGATGCCACTGTGGGAGCTGGCCCGGGCCGGCCGAGCCTGCCATCCAGACCTCTGGTCTGCTGGGGTGCAGGGCTCGGGCTGTGGCGGGGGACTGTACCCAAGTGCCAAAGGAGGCCACGCTCTGAGCTCTGAGGTCCGGGACAGAGGCCCCGGGACAGAGGAGCGGGCCTCCGGCAGGGGTTTCGGGGCCTAGGAAAGACCTGGCATCTGCGGGGCTTCGGCGTGCCGATGGCAGCCGGTGACCGGGGGCGTGACCGCAAAATGACGTTTGTAGGTAGGGCCGGGGCCCAGCTCACAGGGCTCTGGGGGCACGGCCTGAGCTGGCAGTGATCACCACTGTTTCCCCAAACCACCAGGGGGACCCCGGGCTTGTAAGAAAATACAGAACCCCCAAGGTGGGGATAGTTGCCTTTGAAGCCCAGCTGGGCCCCCACCCCATGGTGGCAGCGTGAGTGCAGCCTGGGTCGGGTCCCAGAGAGCACCGTCCCCAGTTCTCAGCCCACTGGAGGGGCATTGGCCAGTCGCCACCTCTGCCCGCCAGGCCCGCATGGCTGTGGAGTGAGCGGGTGACCCCAGGGGTGCCAGGGGGGTTCTGCTCAGCACGGAGGGCGGGTGTGGCAGGAGCCGCCTGGGGCCCGGAGGTGAAGGGGACAGGGAGGCAGTGGGGGGGGCACAGTTCACCCGCTGCTTCTCTGGGGGAGGGGGGGCGCCCAGGTGTGGCCCAGCTCACCTGCTGTGTCTCTGGGGGGTGGGGGGTGGGGGTGGTGCCTGGGTGTTGTTTTCTATTTACCGAAGCAGAGCCGGACTGAGGGGAGGGAGCCAGCGAGGGCCGTGAGCCACGGCTGATGGCTCCACGTGTCTCGTCTGTTGGCTTTGGACAGGCTGGCCTTGACGAAACTGGACATCCTGGACGCCCTGGGTGAGATCAAAGTCGGCGTGTCCTACAAGCTGAACGGGAAGAGGATCCCGTATTTCCCAGGTGTGAGAGGGGGCGGCAGCCTCGCCTGGCATGGGCGACTGGCCTGTGGACCCTGAGGCGAGGGAAGGGTCCCCGTGAGGCGCGCGGGCGGAGAGAGCTCCTCTGGGCCCGGCACGGGCTCCCACACCAACGGGGTGGCCTGGCCGGGTCTCAGGGTGGCTGCAGGCACGGCTGTGGCTCCGAAGCGCTCAGAGGGGCTGGCCTGGGTCGGCAGGCAGGCAGCAAGGCAGCACCCACCGGGGGCCCAAAGGCATCAGGCCCACTTCCTGAAGCACGGGAAGGTCACTCGGGTTAGCAGACGCGAACCTCTCTGGAAAGCCTAAAACTGTGCGAATAGACAGATGACTGTTTTACCTTAGAAAACACACTTTCAGTTAAACTATTCAAGACCTAACCGGGGTTTCTGCTGCCGCAAACTCCTCCTCTTAAAAAGCGAGAAGGCGGTACTGCTGTCGCAGATTTCTCGGCCACCTACGGGTCACGTGCTGACCGCCCTCCCACCTGCGGCTTCCTCCCCGCCGGCTGTGGGCGGGCCGCCCCTCGCTCCCCTTGCTGTGTGGACCCACCTGGCTACGACAGGCAGGGGCTGCGTGTGCCCTCTTCGCCAGTGTCCCCTGGCTCTACTGACCCCTGACCTTTGAGAGGGCGCAGCAGGAGTGTGTTGTGACCCAGAGTCCAGGGCCTGGGGAGCAGGCAAACTCAGAGGGGGCTGAGGTTCCAGGACCCTCGGGGTGGACAGCTCGTTCCAGCATCTTCTGTCAACAAGGGGTGGTTGTCATCAGCTTGAGCCTCAGAGTCCCAGGCAGGTGGGGTCCTTGCCCGGGGTTGGGGTGGGGGTGGGTATATCCTTCAGGATTTCTTAACACTCAGGACCCCAGAGCATTTCCAGTCGGGGTCCGTGGCGTTCCTCAGCCGGGTCACCCGTGCACACTCCAGCAGAGCACGCAGCAAACCCGTGAGCAGGGTGCACATGTCCCCCGGGTCTGGGAGGGGTACAGCCAGTGTCTGAGAGCCACTTCCCGGCCCTGGGGGAACCAAGCCGGGTGACTCGCCTCCTCGCCGCTCAGCCCGCAGGCACACAGGCCCCAGGCTCGGGGTCCCAGCCACTCGGCGTCTGCCCCAGTGATGGAGCAGACGTCCATGGGTCATCGACACCCCGTGTGTCCCCAGCTAACCAGGAGATCCTGCAGAAGGTCGAGGTGGAGTACGAGACGCTGCCTGGGTGGAAATCGGACACCACGGGCGCCAGGAAGTGGGAGGACCTGCCCCCGCAGGCGCAGAACTACATCCGCTTCGTGGAGAACCACGTGGGAGTGGCAGGTGGGTGCCCTGCGCCGGCTACCCTGCCCCTCCCCGGGGTGCTCCGGCCTCAACGACCCTTTTCCCTTCCAGTGAAATGGGTTGGTGTCGGCAAATCAAGGGACTCGATCATCCAGCTGTTTTAGACGAAGGCAGAGCTGACCCCAGCAGGTCCCCTCCCCACGTGAATTCCTCAGAGGCAAAACCAACACGGTAGACAAAGAAATATGAAAACGATTTTCTGGACTTTTCTACTTCTCTTTAAGCCTTCAGTTCAACCCACTGATCTCTACGATGATTTTAAATACCTGAAAACCAGTGCTGGGTACATGTTTAAAACCCTGATGTTTGAAATGAGCCAAGGTGCTCAAAACACAGCCCTTCTGTGGCACTTTGTCACATGGTTGTACGTCCGGTCTGGCAATAAACGTATCCAGGGGCCACCGAGAGGGCGTGGTCATGCGTGCTTTGTTCTCACCTCCTCATTTTGTTTTGACTTTTAAACACTAAAAGGTGCTGGTGACACTTCGCCCTGACAACAGTCTGGGTGACGCACGTCACAAAGCCAAGTTCAGACAAAGAACAGGACTAGCTGTGTAAGAGAGGCTGCAGCAGAAAATACATTTCCCAAAACCCAACGTTTAAACAAACTTCAGTCCGGAGGCCTGAGCCCGCCTTGGCCGGGTGACAGAGTGCCAGGTGCCCTTGTCACTTCAGTGGACCCTCTGCATTGCCCTTAGATGCCCGCCCCCCACGTGGAAGGAGCCGCATCTCCACTGGCCCGCGGCACTCAGCCTGACGCTCGGTGACCTTAAACACACTCCAGGGTTGGGGGATTTAGGGAAATGACTGCCCTTTGAGTATTGTTAGACGGGGCGGGAACCGCATGCAGAGGCCGAGTCGGCCATGGTGAACCCCAGGCTCTGGGAATATCAGCTGGGTTCGCAGGAATCAGTCTGTGCCAGCACGACCTGCACCGTGGGCACCGCCGCTCGGGATGACTCACCGAGGGGGACACTGACCTCTGCGAGTGTATCCAGTGAGCAGCCGTGTCCTGAAGTCCCGTGATGTCACCAGGCCAGCATACGTCTCCAGCAGTGCCCAGGGTGGTGTCGGTGCCTGGAAAGAAGTCAGGAAGACGCCTTATACATCAGCTTCTTTGGGCCGCTCAGCCATCAGCCACACGACTCCGTGCAGCAGAGGTGACGGGCACACACAGAAGCAGTCTTTGAGTTTTCCGAGAATCACCTTGTCCCTTCCAATAAGGCAAGAAGGATGAAGGAGGGCACCCAGAGGCAGGGTGAGCCCTTGGGTCCCGTCCTCCCCACCGTGTCCCCGGGCATGGCACTCTTCCCTGCCAGATGACCGTCTCCTAGCGTCTTGCCACGACAGACAGGTGCACGGTGTTGACAGTCCACCAGAGCAGCCATTTTTCAAGGGAGAGAGAACTACCCCACGCTGGGTAGAGAGCTCCCAGCCTGGCCCTGCGAGGCTCGCTGCCGTCACGCTGGAATTCGAGAGCTGTAGGATCTAGGTGTCGCTGTGGCCGCTGAGCCCTCCACCCACTAGCCGTGCCTCTTTTCCGTCCATCTGACAAAATCTTGGGGAGCCCCTCCCCCCAGGCCATGTGGTTGTGTGTGTGTCAGCGAGACTTGAACCCCTGTTGATTTAGAAAGCGTTTTTAGCTGGGCCTGCCTGAGGTCGTGCCCGGCACAGAGCTCCAAGAAGAGATGGTGTCTGACCTTAGGAAGTGCGGGGAGGCGCCTGTGTGGGCAGGACGGAGACAGCTGTGTGCCAGCCGTTTAGGGAGTTCCCTGCATTCAAGGACAGGGCAGGTCTCCTGACTCCGGGCTTCCCCTGAGGTGACATTTGTCCCACCCCGTGGGCTCTTCTCAACACCCAAGGGCCTAGTGCTAAGCTTGGCACTCGTTACGGGCTGAATTGTGTGCTCCTGAAATTCACGTTGAAGTCCCCATTCCCCGTACCTCAGGAGGTGACTGTAAGTGAGGACTGGATCCTTAAAGAGGTAATTTTTTCCCTAGCTTTACTGAAATATAACGGATACATAACATATAGACTATAATTGACGTCTGACATACACCGTGACTGTAAATTCAGGCGTGCAATGGGATGGCTCGATATTGTGAAATCTGCCTCGATAAGGTCGTTTAACACATCCTTGGCCTCACAGTTCCCGTTTCGCCGTCGTTACGCTGCGAACCTTTAAGATCTACTCTCTCAGTGACCTTCGAGTACACAGGGCAGTGTTACCTAGTGTCATCGTGCTGTGCCTGAGACTCCTGGAAGTCATCCGTCTTCTAACTGGAAGTCTGTGCCCTTTGATCAACAGCTCCCCTTTCCCCATCCGCCACCCGCCACCTTCTACTCTCCACTTCTGTGACTTCAACGATTTTAGGGCCCGCGTGTAAGTGAGAGCATACAGGCTCTTTCTGCATCTGACCTATTTCACTGGGCATAAAGCCCTCAGGGTCCGTGGTGTTATTGCAAAGGGCAGGATGTCTCGTTTTGGCGGGCAGTGTCCCGTGGGACTACTTCCTTGTCCACGCATCCCTCAGGGACGCTCGGCTTGTTTCCGCGGCTATTGGGAAGAGTGCAGCAGCGAACATGGGGGCGCGGGAGGGTCCTGGAGATGGTGACTTCATTTCATTCCCATGCCCAGAAGTGGGGCTGGTGGGTCACATCCCGACGACGACGACGACGACGACGACAACTCCAGCACCGCGCCCCGCACTCGAGCCGCGCAGGCTTCCGGAGCGGACGTGACCTCAGGCCTGCCCTGGGCAACGCGGTGGCGCCGGCGGCGCCCGGGACGTCCCGGACCGTGCACGCGTCACCTCGAACTCTGGCGGCTTCAATGGGGAACTATAACCAGTTTCCACAGTTGTTTACGGACCAAAAGAAAAAAGGTCGAAACATCCCGCCCTCCTGTGCGGACACACCGAATCCCGGCCGCAACGCGCCACCCGGGCCTGTCAGGCGGAGCACCTCACACAGGACCCGCCCCCGGGCAAGAGTCCCGCCCACCTCTCACCACCGACCTATCCCGCGCCGCGCCGCGCATGGGCCCCGCCCCTTCCCTTGCCCCTGGCCTATCCGGC